CCACGCTGTCAAGAAAAAACCACCAGCGAAATGGCGGTACCTGCATGGTGGCGAGTTTCTGCTCCATCTGCCGGTTCTTCTCCCTCAGCTCCTCGTTCTGGTTCTCCAGCTCCGACAGTCGGCTGCTGAGCGCAGGAAGCACCTTGTACCGCTCCATCAGCTCACCTTTCACATCTTCCACCTGGAAGCAGAGAGCGCTCAGGTGAGCGCGCGCCGCACTTTCTGAGGAAGATGTGAAGTGTTTTACGTGCCACCGTGGTTACCTTGTTCTCTAACGACAGGTTCCTGTTTGCCATCATCTTCAGGTGTTCGGCTGCGAAGGTGGACTCGTGCTGCCTCATGTCCTGGTTCAAACCCTGAAACACAGCACACGCAATATTGCAGTACATGCATTATGAAGTATTAATACAGGTGTATAACTGCAGTACTGTGGTACATGAGCCACAGGTCTGCCACACGTTTAGTGAGAATGATGATGAAACTACCTTGAACGTGCAGCCGTAGCGGTGGAACTGACAGCTGACCTGAGCTTTGGGACAGTCATGCTGGTGACCCGAGAGCTGAAACAGCACAACATCAATAAATCAATAGATCGATCGATCACTGCGATCGGAAAAGCTGAAAGCTGAAGGGTGCGAGTGATCCGGGAAAAACTGGGTCAGCACCTCGCTCCGGGGCAGGGAGGCGAAAGAGCAGTGGTTTGGACACATCACGGGGAACGCCGGACAAACCGTATCTTTGTGTTTCTGAAAAACGTTTTTAAAAACTTAATTTTTCACAAAAATCACCAAAAAGCAAGAAAAAGAAGCCAAACGCTGCCCGCGGCTCACCTGCAGGTCTGTCAGGGGCATCTTCGTGCTGCAGAACTCGCAGGTGGTTTCTCTGTGTTTGCATTTCCAGCTCAGGTGGTCGGGAATCTCCTTCCTCATCATCCTCTCCTTACACTTTCCCAGCGGGCAGGGAACCTCGAAGAACGGACACACGTTCAGGTGGTCCTGCAGACACACAGGTGAGGCAGGTAAGTGAATTTCTGCTGTATGCAGAGCAGCCAATCAGAAAGCGGGATTTTCAGGTACGTGTGCTCACAGGTATCTGCTGCAGACTCATCTGCTCCTGACAGCCGTTCGCCTCACTGCGGCAGTAAACCTTTAGCGACATGATCTCCCGGTGGCAGCAAACGTCTTTGAAGATCTGAAACACAAAGCACAGCCTGATCAATCACACAGCCCGACGAGTGATCACAGATTGCTCAGTAACTGATCGGGAATCAATCACAGACCAGTGGGGCTGTCAACATTAACATGCGTTATCCGTCGCCAGGATTAACGCGATTAAAATTTTAACCAAATGAACCCATCGGAAATGCCTCTCTCAGCGTATTTGGGGCAGTTTGTACAAAGTTGGTCCATTCTGCGCTCCAGATGGCTTCATCATGTTAAAACTTTATTCATAAACACAGATTAACAAATGTTAACGTTGACAGTCCTACTGATCAGTCAACAACGTGATCTCTGCTGTGATGTCACTTCCTGCCCACCTTGTCTCTGAACAGTGGCTCCATGTCAGCCGGACACACCGGGTTTGGACGACTGCAGGAGAGAGGACACAAAAGTTAAACGCTGACACCTGCAGGGTCGAGCAGGAACTCAAATCGACGCAGTGTTTCCCCTGAGTGGGAGTGGCCTGTCTCACCTGAGGATGTCGCAGATGCAGCTGTTACAGAAACGGTGTCCACACTCGGTCTGGCGGGGCTGACACAGGACCAGCCTGCACGCCTCGCAGCAGTATTTAGCTTCTGGAGTTTCTACAAAGTGATCTCTGAAGCCGCCATGAAGAGGCAGGAAGCCTGCGGGCACACCTGAACACACACCTGAGGTCAGAGACACACCTTACCGAACCTGTCCTCAAAGAGGATTCACACCCTCCTGGCTTCAAAGGCCTGACTGGGTCTTAAATAACCTTAGCCAATCAGATCAGCCACCGTGTGTGAATCCTACCTAACAAAGATTTTTTTTTGAAACTCGTTACCTTGCTGAGCGGTGGGCTCACTGGAAGGCCACAGATTGGCTGGGCGGTGAGAGGGCGGGGCTGCCGAGAGGGGCGAAATAAGGGAGGGTGCCACCTGCTGGAGGGGAATCTGCACCTCCCTGCCGTCAGCACTCCTCCCCGCGGACATGACCTGAGGAAACATTAAAAGAAACATTAGAACCCAACAACTGAGTCCAGTCTGCACGTGCTCAGTGGAGTCCAGCAAGGGGCGAAGGGGCGTGGCCTATAAATAGGAAAGTTGACAGGTCACATGTTAATTTAATTAGAAAGTGCAGCGAAAACAGGTGAGAACAGGTGAAGGAGAACAGGCAGTGAGCTCAAACATGGGAGTTTCAGCTCCACTGGTTCAGACCAGTAAAACCAGTAAACAATCTGAAAACCTTCATACATGATTTCACGATCCAGCCTGAGATCTTTCCAGAAGGTCTCAGAACTTCCACATCAGTCTTTGTGATGTCACAGGTCAGGTTTAACCATGTACTGCGGTGCGGTGCGGCAGGTCATTGATGACGAGAGAAACGGCGACCTCAGCTCGGACACTCGTGATGTCATGAAGCCCAGTCGCTTTTCTTTCCAAGCTCCTCAGATTAGCATGACCTGGTACCTGAGAACCTTCACAGATATGTCAGAGTGAGTGTCCAAAGATCAGTTGGTCTTCCTCCGAACATCTCAGACTTAGGTAGGTCCTTCAGGTGGACCCTCGGGTGAATCCTGTAGCTTCTGGCTGAATGTCACGGGAACCCCGTCTCCGACCGGTCGGCATTCACAGTTTTTCCTTTCGTGTTTTCGTGGATCCTTTAAAAGGGCCGATGCTACCTGAACCCTCGATGGGTCACCTGATGACCAGGTGGACGTTTGCGATTGAAGAATCACATTTTGGTCATGTTGGAACTCCTCGTGTACAGTGTGATCAGACATTTAAATATTACACTGACCTTTAACCCTCACAGCAGACGTCCGCCATGATGTTTGAGCAGCCCTGGACGTGAGTCCAAATGTTAAATAAAGGAAAAAGGTTCAGATACTGAACCATTAAACTGAGGAATGAATGCATTTCTCTCTCAGTTAAAAACATAAAGAGGATTTCAGAAAATGAACCTGTTACTCTGTTTTCTAAGTTCATGAAGTTGACGGTTGGATAACCGGCTTTAACTCCAGTCAGCTGCTCTGAGCTGACTGACGTGCAGTTTGGGGTTTTTCCTTAAACATGTGATGTTTCAAAAACAGCCACAATGGAAATGACCTCAGTGTTCTGATACTCACTGCAAAAAAGTACTTCAGTACCACAGTATTACACTATTGCTGTATCACAGTACTGCAGTATTCTATTCTATTTTATTTATACAGTGCCAAATCACAACAACAGTCACCTCTGTTCATCTGGACGTTTGACCGCTGCCCCGACAGCACAGACGGCCAAACACGCAGACCGAGAATCCCGGTCACGGATCGGACGCACGATGAGGAACAACCAGACTTTCCGACATTTGTTACAGTAACCTCGGTGTGCACGCGTGGTTTACCATCATTTCCTGCTGTTCGGCTCTGACGGGAAACCCGCCCACTGCAGCCTCACACACCTGACGAGCTACCTAGACGGTAGTTCGTCAGGTGACATGAGATGTGCCTCCTCAGTGAGGCGGTGGCGCTGGCGGGGTTTTGATCAGAAGTATTTACCTAGCTTATGTTATGTTATCAACTCACGAACATTCAAAGAGCCGACGCATTTTCAAAACACAAACAGTGAAATCTGGTAAAAAATGAAAGATTTGAACATTTGAATAAATCCAGAAAGAGGATCCACACACTTCACACAGGAATTCTGGGTAATTTCAGAAGCATCGGGTCAGCTGACACATGAAAACCTGAAGTGAGAGCTTTCATGACCTCACACACAGCTGTGACCTTTAACCTCCACACACACACACACACACACACACACACACACACACAGAAACAGAAACACACACTTCCTGTCAGGGATGCTGGGGACTTTTCCATTCACTGCATCGTCAACACACACACACACACACACAGACACAAACCCATCCCTTTCAAAATAAAAGCCCCAAATGAGTCAGTGGCATTCTAAGGCTTGAGTTAGAGTGAAAGCTCGTCACTGATGTGCAATCTGGATCTGCCAGATGTGTGACATCACACCTACGTGTGTGATGTCATGCCTGTGGTTAACGGGTGCTGCGACATGAAGCAGGTGACTGCAGTCGTGACTGAGCACTTCTCAGAAAGAGAAACTGGAAGAATTCACTTCATCACAGGGGTTTTCCTCAGAGCAGCTGATGGAGGATCAGTAACCTGATGATAGCAGTCTGCGCCCAGCAGGGGGTGCCTGTGGAGGGGCAGGTGTGGACTCACTTGGGTTTATTCATCATCCCTGAAACAGAAACATCTGGATGACAGCAGATGTTTCTGAACCTGCAGATGTGCTTCAGCATTAACAGGACCTTCACACATGTCCCAGTTACCCAGTGCTCACAACCATCATCATTATCACCACAACCAGCATCATCATCATCGCCACTATCAGTACCATTTATTTAGATAGCAGCAAAAACACAACAGCAGCCATGTCAGGTGCTTTAATGGCCCTTTGTGAGCAAGCACTTAGCGACAGAGGGAAAGAAAAACGAGCTTTTAACAGGACGAAACTTTCAGCGGAAAGCGGCTCAGGGAGGGGCGGCCATCTTGGGGTGAAGGGAGGATTCTTATCATCGTCTGCTCAGCTAAACACACCATCACTAACACCCATGATCTTAAATTTTGACACGTATAGTGCTGCACGGCACCTGCCCTGCTGAGCAGCTTTTTCTCATGTCTGTCTGACCTGTACTGGAGTGTTCTGGGTAATGTAGTCAGACCCTCTGGGTGTTTTCTGGATTTTTCTGATGCCCAAATAATGATGATGACATGGTGTTAACATCTGTCTCGTCCAGGTGTTTCCTCAGCGGGATCCCGTCAGGCCGCCGTTAAGACACTTATGGGTGACGATCAGAGGTCAACCTGAGAGCTCCTGCAGGCTCACCCTGGGTCACCTAACAAAACACGCTCCGCCCCGGGGTATGCTCAGTGTCAGGTTACAGGTGAGACCTTTGATTCAGATGTTAAACATCACAGGGTTTTATTCTCTCAGTGTCCCAATCTTCTCAGACCATCAGCGTCACCTGCATGTCCCGGTGTTTTCATCTGAATAATGGTTTGTTCTGTCAGCTGACGATCAGCTGCTCTCTCACAGGTGAGCTAAAGGTGAAACTAACCTGATAACCTGCGTGTCCTCAAATGAGAAACCACCTGGAAACTCCACATCGGAGGTGGTCTGAGGAGTACTCTTAGTACTTTTACTGCCTTACTATCCTGCTTACTCTGACAGTACTTTGGTGTTTACAAATAGTAAACAGTAACTCCAAGTTCACGTGACCTCACACACACCTGTCCTGTTAACCTTCCCATCACATGTTATCGACACACAAGCCATAATCGATACCAGGAACTGATCCGCGGATCAATAAGAACAATAGAAGCAACAGACTGGGCTCGTCCTGTCTGTGCTCGATTCTTCAGGTCTGACTGTTTTTAGCTCTGCTGCTCTGATCAGGGCATCAATCAAGTTACCGATCGAATTATTGATTTTGTTACTGATCCGGTGGGCGCGGGTGTAAACAGACGGAAAGCCGACGCTAGCCGACGTTAGCCTGTTAGCTCGGTGTGATCGGTAACGGGGATTTTAATGTAAACACAGCTAGCTGTAGCATCTCCTCCAGCCCGCTAACACAGCTAACATGTTCCCGCTGCTCACGCCGAGTCTCCTGTCAATACCGCATCTCTGGTATGTCTCTACTGTGTGTCTTTATTCTGTTTCTGCTCTCTCGGACTCACATGAATCTCCTCCGCAGGCCACAGCTCCTCAGGACTCCCCGGGACCTCCTTCTCGGCGGTTCCTCCGCGGACTCTCTGCGGGATTCAAACCGTCAACCTGCCGCTGTGTCGGAGCCTCCGGGCCTGGGACAGACTCCTCATGGTCCGGTTTCGGGTTCAGGTTCTCCGGCTGAGTGGTTTGTGTGAGCAGACGATGCTGGGATCAGTTCAGAGATCCAGCAGCAGGACGGGCTGAACGCTGGAAACCCCCTCCGCTGCTTCCGCCCAGGAAATCCCCCAGCTGCCCGGAGCCTGCAGGGCGGCGGCGGGCCGCAGGGGGCGCTGCTTCCGCCACGTACAGTTTTCTTTATTTGTTTATCAGGCCTGTCGGGGTGAACGAGAAGCTCACAGTGGCGCTGAGATGTTAACAGGTACGAAAGGGCAGGGCAGGAGCATGTTTTAGTTCATTAAGTCAAATAATTTCAGTTTAGTGTTTTCAGCTCATTCTTGCTTCCACTGATGTGGGCTTTGACCTTTGCATTTTTACGATTATGAACAACATAATCATTTAATTTACCAGAAAGTCCAAACTTGTTTCCTCTGTAAGCACTCATTACTGATGCTCTGATTACAGATGCCTGTAAAATTTTCAGGCATCTGTACTTTACTTGAGCAGCCTATTTATTTTTCTAACCCTTTTTACTTTAACTCCCTACATTTTTAAACAAATATTTGTACTTTGTTCTTCTTACATTTTCAGAAAAGAGACTCATTATTTTAGGTTCATCTATAGTTTATACTCAGAGATAACCTGGGCAGGTGAGTGCAGGTGCCGGTACTTCAGCATCTCGCTAGCTCTACAGAAGAGGAGCGAGCATAAAGGGAGTAACGTTTTTAAGTGTCAGGTAATTTGAAATGCAGTGTTTCTATGAGCTCAATAAACATCAGCAAACACACAAACTGTTTGTGTGCAGTTTGTCTCGCAGTGTGTTGCAGCTAAAGGTCCAGCTGACATGTAAATCATCGTGTTTTTAAATCCATACATGTGACATTATGTTTTTCACATTGTGAAACCTGCTGCTAATCAAACTGAGGCAGACAGTTATTTAAAGGCTGCATGAAAATCCTCTGCAGGATAAACAGGTTAATTTGTACTGTGATGGTTTAAAGTAAAGAACAGTGTGTGACTGGTGCACAGTGGCTGTCTAATACAAAGACAGCATGAACAGCAGACTGTCAGTGTAGAGGATGGCCAACTGATGAAACATCTGCTCACATCTGGCTAAATCCAGGTATGTACATCCAGAAAGAGCAGCAGGTCAGCTGATCACAGCCTGCACACTAAGACAATCTGCTGGAATAGAAATGATTGTGAGTTTGATTATTTTCCCCACACTGAGACAAAACAGCTGATTTTAAGTTCCCCACCTGCTGAATCCACTTTAACCCCTGACTGTACACATTTGCTGTTTAGAGGCAAAGTCTCCCTCCACAATGGAGGCAACAGGAAATAGAAACATATTTTTATTTTCCTTCTTTTTCTCTGCTCATGTTCAAAGACTGATTCAAGTTGAGTACATTTATTAGAGTAGAAATAGAAACTGAAGTAAAGTTTGTATTATCATTTGGTAACATTATTTATTATTACATTAATACATATATATCACAAACCCAAAACCCTGGATGACCAGCGAGGTCTGATCACTCCTCAAAGTCCATGACGCCACCTTCAGGTCAGGCGACAGAGCTCTGTACAGGGCTGCTCGAGCTGACCTGAAAAGGGGAATTTAAAAAGCCGAGACAGACCACAAAATAAACATCGAGTCCCAGCTGTCCAGCAACAACACACGGGAGGTGTGGCAGGGCATACAAGACAATACACCACAGCGGCTACACTGTGAAAGCAGAAAACCTGAGTGTGCAGCTGGCAGAGGAAATAAACGGCTTCTTCACCTGCTTTGAAACACCAAAACAGCAGCACTCATCTGCTTCAGCCCTGCTCCCATCCTCATCCTCACCTGGTTCCTGCACCACTCAACTCACTGTAATGGAGCACAATGTCAGACGATTCCTGAGGGTCCTCAGGAGGTACAAGCTGAACTCCAACCTGCTGCTGACCTTCTACCACTCGTCCATTGAGAGCCTGCTAACATACTGTATGACAGCAGCTGCACTAAGGCAGACAGAGTGAGGCTTCAGAGTGTAGTCAAGTCAGCACAGAACATCATTGGCTGCCCTCTCCCCTCCCTGATGGACATTTATTCCTCCCGCTGCCTCAGCAGAGCAACAAACATCATCAAAGACAGCTCCCACCCTGGTTTTAACCTGTTCAGCCTACTTCCCTCAGAGAAGCACTGCAGGTGCATCAGCACAAAACCCCACAGACTCAAGAACATTTTCTTCACAAAGGCCACAACCACCCTGAACTCACACATGCACCGATAACACAGCCCCACCCCCCATTTCATTTCATTTATATATTTTTCTGTTAATACTGTTCATATTTGTACACACGCGTACAAATGTGTGTTTTTAGAGTAAAGCCAGTTTTGGAAAATCATTCAAACTGTTTCCACTGAAAGAAAATCGTCTCCACAGTTTGTCTGTTCTTCACAGCTCCTGCTGTATGGCTTAAAAAAGATCTCTTATTAAGCTGTTGAACTGTCAGCAGTCAGTGCTGGAAAATATTAGAGTCAAAACGTCTTACTGATTTTACCGATTCTATTTCACATTTTGTATTTTACATGCTATATTTACAGATTCTGTTTTATGAATTCTACTTATTGATTGCATCTACTAATTCTAATTATAGTGAGACTGCAACTAAAGATTATTTTGGTGGTCGACTGATCTGCCAATCCTTCTTTGATTAGTTGATTATTCAGCGATTCTGTCAGTAACTCTCATCTGTCCTTCCTGTGGACATAGCTCCTATTCTAGGCTCCAGGACCTCTCCTGCTCAGGTCTGCCCACCTGTGAATATCGCCCCACAGCAAATTAAAATAATGACCCAGGAGACATATGAATTTGAAAAGACTCTCATGTATTTTTAACATTACTCACTTGGACTGTCAGAATAAAATGAAATAAAATATCGGGTGATATAAATTAAAGTGATAGTATTTAGACCAAAAGTAATGTGCGAATAGAAAAGTAAAATTTCAAATAAAGCTTCAAATTAAATCAAGAAGCTTTTATTTTCCAGTCCAAAATAACATGTTTCCAAACGTATGGATGATTTAGTTCTGGCCATTTACCATATACCATATACCATATATCTTTATTATAAGGTGTCTTTAAAGGATATCTAAGATGAGCCTTGTCCTGCTGTCTGATGGTCATTTTCCTCATCTGGTTGGTTGTCATAAATCAGTTCTTCTGCTTTGGTGTTGAAGCTCTTTGGTCCTTCTGCAGTTTGACAGAAACTACAACGCTGGCTCAGAAGATGGAAAAACCTTTTCTGGTCTGATGAGTCTCAATTTCTGCTGCGACATTCAGATGGTAAGGTCAGAGTTTGAAAGCATGGATCCATCCCGCCTCAGACAGTTTTCTTCAACAATGGTGAAATAATTAACTGAGGTTTGGTGTCAAACACAAGCAATGTTTCCTCTAATGTTTCACGTGTCTGAGCGAGCACACAAACTCCCTGAGCGTCCCTTGGACCACTGTGAGCAACAGCAGACATGTGCACTGTGGTCACGCCAGCATCAAATCCATCCAAGTTACATGGTTTAAAAATAATCAAAATACAGCATTTATATTTATGTTACACTACTTTTAATTAACTGCTTTAGCCCACTTACAATGAAAAAAAAAAAAAAAATCTTGTTCATGACCTGTAGCATGTTAACACTATTGGAAGTAAAAATAACTTGAACTCTAATTTTAAAAACACAACTTTATTTTTTCTTCTTTTTTCTTCTTCTATAAAGCTCTGACTTGTATTATGAGTCTGAGGTCTGGGAGAGAGTCTGTAACTCTCTGTCTGCCAAATACAGTAAATAATGACCAATACTGCTGGCAATTCAATCAATCAATCAAAGCTTTATTCGTCACATGCAGGTTGCCCTGCAGTGAAATGGGACCCCCCCCCCCCCCCCCGACCTTACACACACAACACAGACATTACATGGGAATACAAGTTGGAGAGCGGTAGCGTTACCGAAATGTACACTACAATGGGAAAGTACAAGAGGAAAAAAAGAGACCTCTACTCATGCTGTGCTTCCATGGTAGGACAGCAATTAATTACATACAGTGGCTTGCAAAAGTATTCGGCCCCCTTGAACTTTCCCACATTTTGTCACATTACAGCCACAAACATGAATCAATTTCATTGGAATTCCACGTGAACGACCAACACAACGTGGTGTACACGTGAGAAGTGGAATGAAAATCATACATGATTCCAAACATTTTTTACTAATAAATAACTGCAAAGTGGGGTGTGCGTAATTATTCAGCCCCCTTTGGTCTGAGTGCAGTCAGTTGCCCATAGACATTGCCTGATGAGTGCTAATGACTAAATAGAGTGCACCTGGTTTGTAAAAGTGCTGCAACTTCAGTGGTGTGGAACTGGTTTAGCTTTCGTCCGTCAGATACACAACAAAGCACTATTTTTGGTAGAGCATGCTAGCGAGCCGTCGTTATTACCGTGTTGTTTGGAAAATACGGCACACTTAAAATCAATCCTTTGATTTTTCTGAAAGTCGACAGTGCCCCTTATAATCCCGTGTGCCTTATGTATGAACTCTGGTTGTGTTTACTGACCTCGAAACGATTTTATGTACACGGCGCTCGAAAATCTGTCAAATGCTTTAGTACGACTTTGCTAAGCTACGAAGCCACACCACTTGATGGATTGTCGGAGCATTACGGCTATCGTAGGCAGGAGCCTCGCGGAGTGATACGTACTGTGCTTCAACATAATATTACCGTATTGTGTGTGTGTAACCTCTTTAAGTTTTGTGGATATTTAGTGTGAATGCTTGAAAAGCATTCACAGTATTGTTCTTCTATTCTTTATTATTATTTTTTCACATTCCGTACATTTTTTGGACTATCTCCTTCAAAACCGTTCAACTTAGAAAAACCATTCAAACACCGTTAGATTCCTCTTCT